TGAGATTCTTCAAATAGCCACCCTTTGCCTTGATGACAGCATTTGCACACTCTTGGAATTCTCTTAACCAGCTTCATGAGGTAGTAACCTGGAATGCATTTCAATTAACAGGTGTGCCTTCTTAAAACTTTAATTTGTTAATGTGTTTGAGCCAATCACTTGTGTGACAAGGTGTGTGTGTCTGGGAGGAGGGGGGGGGGGGGGGGGGGGGGGGGGGGGGGGGGGGTACAGAAGATAGCCCTATTTGGTAAAAGACCAAGTCCATATTATGGCAAGAACAGCTGAAATAAGCTAAGAGAAACGACAGTCCATCATTACTTTAAGACATGAAGGTCAGTCAACATTTATTCAAGTGCAGTTGCAAAAACCATCATGCGCTATGATGAAACTGGCTCTCATGAGGACCGTCACAGGAATGGAAGACCCAGAGTTACCTCTGCTGCAGAGGATAAGTTCATTAGAGATACCAGCCTCATAAATTGCAGCCCAAATAAATGCTTCACAGAGTTAAAGTACCAGACACATCTCAACATCAACTGTTCAGAGGAGACTGTGTGAATCAGGCCTTCATGGTCAAATTGCTGCAAAGAAACCACTACTAAAGGACACCAATAATAAGAAGAGACTTGCTTGGGCCAAGAAACACAAGCAATTGACATTAGACCAGTGGAAATTTAATTTGGTCTGGAGTCCAAATTTGAGATTTTTGGTTCCAACCGCTGTGTCTTTGTGAGACACAGGGTGGGTGAACGGATTGATGTCTGCATGTGTATTTCCCACCGTAAAGCATGGAGAAGGAGGTGTTATGGTGTGTGGGTGCTTTGTTGGTGACACTGTCTGTGATTTATTTAGAATTCAAGGCACACTTAAACAGCATGGCTACCACAACATTCTGCAGCGATACGCCATCCCGTCTGGTTTGGGCTTATTGGGACTATCATTTGTTTTTCAACAGGACAATGACCCAACACACCTCCAGGCTGTGTAAGGGCTATTTGACCAGGAAGGAGAGTGATGGAGTGCTGCATCAGATGACGTGGCCTCCACAATCCCCCGACCTCAACCAAATTGAGATGGTTTGGGATGAGTCGGACCGCAGAGTGAAGGAAAAGCAGCCAACAAGTGCTCAGCATATGTGGGAACTCCTTCAAGGCGGTTGGAAAATCATTCCAGGTGAAGCTGGTTGAGAGAATGCCAAGAATGTGCAAAGCTGTCATCAAGGCAAAGGGTGGCTATTTGAAGAATCTCAAATATAAAATGTATTTTGATTTGTTTAACATTTTTTGGTTACTACATGATTCCATATGTGTTATTTCATAGTTTTGATGTCTTCAGTATTACTCTACAATGTAGAAAATAGTAAAAAATTAAGAAAAACCCTTGAATGAGCATGTGTTCTAAAACTTTTGACCGGTAGTGTAGGTCAGTATTTGTATTATATATTTTATACAGTCTTTTTTGATCATCTTTATCAAGGGAGCCAATCATTTTGGAGTTGACTGTATAACTAGTATAATGAATGAAAATCGTGAAAATATAACCATTTTGCGTCTTACTAACCTGTGTAGTTCCAGGGTAGTTAACAGTTAGAGTGTAGCCTAAATGCAATGTAAGTACATATTGTTACAATGAATAACACATTATCATCATGCAATATGCTTATAAAAACATCTACCTGCAACGTAAATATTGTAGGCGTTTGTGATTCTCAGTTCAATTTGCCTCCAGAATCGATTGAAATGGCTGTATACTCTAATGATTGCATAGAATCTCTCAAAAGTCTGATGTGCGCCCCCATGTGTTGGTACTGGCTCCTGCAACACTTATGGTCTGCTGATATTCAGCAGCATCTGGTGGTAGAAAGTAGGACCTACAACTATGCTTCATATGACTGTTGCATTCCGCTCTAACGCCACTTCTCCACAATTGGTAAACACACACTGGTTCTCCTTCATATACTAGGATGAATGTTGAATCAGTCTTTTCTTATCCTGGTCAGGTTAGGGCACCCTTAGAATAGAGATTCACAATCCAACCATGTCAGATCTCACTCTTTCTTCTAAAAAGGATTGAAAAGTCCCCAGATGGTGCAGAGCTGATTATGGTAAACCGTAGTGAAGTGGGAGGACAAGAGTTGGAGGGGGTTCAGGATGTCTTGTCGTGTCCTGGTGGGGTGGGTGGTAGTGGAAGGAACCAGTTGCCCTGCTGGTAATCTGATTAACAGGTAGTAGTGGAGAGGACTAGTGGAGTTGTTGAGTGGACCAAATCCTTTGTGGGCAATCCTATTAAGAGGTAGTAGTAGTGTGAAGTGGAATACAGTGGAGTGCATTAGTGGAGTTGAGGGGACCTGTTGCTCTGTAGACAATCATCTTAGTGAAGTGGTCATATGACCAGCCCACATGGGCAGGATCAGTATGAACCCCTGTGGACAGTCACACTGTGGTGGGCTAAGGGGAGACCACAACACAGCACACATCCAATGATCAGCACCTACTTGGAGCCAGTCAAAGGTACATACGTGTGTGTGCGTGCATGTTTGAGCTTGTGTTTATGCCTGTGTTCAGGTTTGGTCGCATATGCGAATAAATATTTTGCTGCGTGACCAGGAGTTGTATTTTGGGAGCACCGTGCGACTAGGAAAACAATCTCCCATATAATAATTGTTGTAATGCTAAGGCTTCGCTGTACCGTTGTTTCCGGGTGCCTTAGAGAAAAATATTCGATAGCGTCATGGTTGCACCATTACTACAGCGAAAAACGGCTTGCTTCTAGCACAACCAGGTCAAACGATCTGAGCCATATTACCGGCGCAACCTTACTTTCTTCCTATAGCGGATCGCGGGACCGCATTTTACATTCATAAACCATGTCGTGGGCAGTTCTAAACCTACTCGCGCGTCGTTAACCATTTGTTTACACTTTATTCAGTCACGTTACCTAATTGGCTAGCTAACTTTACCAGTATATCCAAACATGTGGGGCCACAGAAAGAAAGGAAACTGGATTTTTTTAAATGTTATTTTCTGGTGCCCCTAAATTGCATGTGGTGCTCCTAACTTTTTAAAGTTGGGAGCACCAGTGTAACCAATGAAACATTTTAATTTAGATCCCTGCCTGTGTTTGTCTGCCTCCGTGTGTGTGTACATGCATGTGACTATTTATTTAGAAAGAAAGATTAAGCACAACCATTTCAATTGAAAAACACATACTGTAAATGTATTACATTGATGAAGAAGTGATCATATTTTGAAATCATAGGCTTACAACGAAATAACATTATTTTATTTTTCAATCGTTCTTTAGAAGGGTTCTTCCCACCTTTTTGACATATGTCCAGAACAACCATCCACTCCTCTAACACAACCACTGTCTCTTTCTATGATTCCTACCCCTCTCCTCAGGACACTTATGCCTCTCCAGAAGGATACGCTCAGAGACGTCTGGACAGATGACAGGTAAGATCTTGGTCTTAATATACAGTGCCTTCAGAAAGTATTCAAACCCCTTGACTTATTCCACATTTTGTTGTGTTACAGCCTGAATTCAAAATGGATTCAATTGATCACCCATCTACAATACCCCATAATGACAAAGTGGAAATATGTGTTTAAAATGTTAGAGCCACCACTATGCTTGAAAATATGGAGAGTGGTACTCAGTAATGTGTTTTATTGGATTTTCCCCAAACATAACACTTTGTATTCAGGACATAAAGTGAATTGCTTTGCCACATTTCTTGCAGTATTACTTTAGTGCTTTTGCTTAGTTGCAAACAGGATGAATGTTTTGGAATATTTTTAATCTGCACAGGCTTCCTTCTTTTCACTCTGTCAATTAGGTTAGTATTGTGGAGTAACTACAATGTTGTTGATCCATCTTCAGTTTTCTCATATCACAGCGATTAAGCTCGGTAACTGTTTTAAAGCCACCATTGGCCTCATGGTGAAATCCCTGAGTGGTTTTCCTTCCTTGGGAAGGACGCCTGTATCTTTGTAGTGACTGGGTGTATTGATACACCATCCAAAATGTAATTAATAACTTCACCATGCTCAAAGGGATTTTCAATGTATGCTTTTTTTTTTACCCATCTACCAATAGGTGCCCTTCTTTGCGAGGCATTGGAAAACCTCCCTGGTCTTTGTGGTTGAATCTGTGTTTGAAATTCACTTCTCGACTGAGGGACCTTATAGATAACTGTATGTGTGGGGTACAGAGATGAGGTAGTCATTCAAAAATCATGTTAAACACTATTATTGCACACAGAGTGAGTCCATGCAAGTTATTATGTGACTTGTTAAGCAAATGTTTACTCCTGAACTTATTTAGGCTTGCCATAGCAAATGGGTTGAATACTTATTGACTCAAGACATTTCAGCTTTTCATTTTTTATTAATTTGTAAAAATGTCTAAAAACATAATTCCACTTTGACATTATGGAATATTATGTGTAGGCCAGTGACAAAACATCTCCATTTCATCCGTTTTAAATTCAGGCTGTAACACAACAGAATGTGGAAAAAGTCAAGGGGTGTGAATACTTTCTGAAGGCACTGTATTTAAGAATAAGACGTAATGTCAGCTCTATGCATCATTATGTCATCTCTGTCTTGCCAAAACATATGTCTGAAAAAATGAATTATTCAAAAGTGTCATGCTATTTAAAAATTGATTCCACAGGTCTCAAGAAAGTCAAGATGTGGCCACTCCACAGAAGGTAAAAGTCAACCATAAAAAGTTTTAAAATACAAAAAGACACCTACAGTAGGTAGCTGGGTGTGCCTTTTCGTACATTTTAAGACACTAGTTGTCCATCTACATGTCTATTTGTGTCTGGGTGTCGCTCAGTTCCTGTGAGAATAAGTTGTTGTGTCCGAGTCAAAATTGGTTGGTTATGAGTCACATCGACCATTACATTCACGAGGGGGGGTGTCACCACCTGTGTATAGTGGACCTGTGCTTGTAATCTGTGTACACGTAACATACTTCCTCCCCCTTCTCCCACGCCATGTTGGTTCGTCCTGTTGACGTCTCTCTGTTTTTGAAGAGCAGCTGGCTTTACACATAAATCCTATTAGAAACTTTCTGCTGATTGTGAGCGATTGAGTCCTAGGCTCCCCACTTTCTTCATTATCTCCATTGTGTTGAATGGCCTACTTATTCTTCCTTTTTAATTAAGAACTTTTAGGGAAAAGAGGAGTTTGTAGTTTGTTAGAGCTGAAGTCACTGGCCACACAATGTCTGCAGAGAAGGTAAAGTTATCGTAACTGTGTTTTGAAGAGCTTTTCTTGTTGAAAGGATGCTAGAGAGAAGGAATACTCGTGATGGGTCCTATAAAGTTATAACATTTCTCTAATAGCATTGTGATTCATTCAGATATACTGTAATGGTGTTTACGATGACTACAGATGCAATTACATGCCCTCTTGATTGCTAGACAATTCAGTGGATAGAAGACCAGTTTACCAGTAATCAGATTATTTCAACAGAATACTCAAGTGATTGAGCATGCTGCTGTGGTATTGTTACAGTTCTAAAGTGGTTGATTTACCCCAGCCTGTTGTGCGTAGTAAGTAAGTAGCCCTTGTGCAAGCCAGATCGGCTCACAGGAACAGGAGCCTAACTCCTGTTTCATAGCGTGAGGCAGCTTAATTTAAAAGGACACCATCTGGATGCGAGTCTATCACAAGGCCCCCAATCTATCTTCTTAATGCTGAGTGCCAAGCAGAGATGCACCAGGTCCCATTTTTACAGTCTTTGGTATGACTCGGCCGGGGATCGAACTATTCATCTTCCAATCTCACTTTAATCACAAGGCCACTGAGTTGGTGTCTGTTGTGTAACGATGGTTCTGTAGAATTGGCCACTGGGCTGTGACGAGGTTCTGGTACATATGTGAGGTAACATATTGCTATGGTGTGGGAAAGGCTGGGGTTGTGGGGTTGACAGAGGCCTCATGCCCATTGAAACTGTGGGCGAAGGATTTACCCATCTGACATATTCAATATATTAAACATATTGATGCAGTGGATGCAAAGATTTTGAATTTGCCATCGGTTTCCCCCCTTGAAAAAATGGCATGATGACGGCTTTGTCTGCAGGCCGCCATTACTCAAATGAGGTGAGGACAGAAATAGAGCCACATCTTAATCGGATTACTGTGGTCATCCATCGCTGCACTCCGTCAGTCAGTGTTTAAATGACCAGAATCACAGTGGCTGACCTTATTCTAGTTTTGTTGGGATGCTGTGGTGTGGTGTGGTGATAGTTGGTTTCCGGTCAGTAGTCCCATGAAAGGGATTGCTGGGAGTAGTGGGAGGCTGGCTGACATAATACCAGTAATACCAGAGCAAGGCTCATATAGTGGGACAACTGACTGGTTACTGTGGGACATGGCCTGTGAATAGGACTGATTGGGAGAAAAGCTGAATGTGCTTGTGTGTTGAATAACGTTGGATTGTTCGGTGCACTTCCAACTGCACAATGTGGAAGTGCACAAGAGTGTTTTTAAGAATGAGAAGAAAATATCTGCCAATTGTAATTATATATGCATTGATTCTAAGGTACAGAAACATTCCTCTCAATACTTGTTTTCCTCAGCAGCCTTGTGTAGTTATGGCTCTGTTTATTACTCTAAATCTCTCTCTAAAGCCCTACTACTACAATATAATGATGTAACTTCCTTAACGCTGGATGTGACGCAACATGTTTATGTGATTGAGGCAGGTGACTGAAATGCTTGATTGTTAGGTCACTGTGTCAGAAGGGCAGGTTACATAATATAGGAAGTATTGACTAGAATATTCTAATGATTATTATCTGTTCACTATTTCCCTTTTGAAAGCGAATCGGTTTTAAGAGAATGTCTTGACACTGTAGTAAAAATATATAATATTGGATAATCAAGTATACTGTATTTATAGTAGTGTGATTTGAAATGTACAGTGCTTTACTTGTTTCTGTCTCCATACCTTTCCGCTTGCACTTTACACTGTCTTTTGAATGGTAAGTCACTAAAATTCTCATGCTCCTGTACAGACATTTACTATTGGCATACACTGAGTGTACAAAACATTAGGAACACCTTCCTGATATTGAGTTGCACCCCCTTTTGCCCCCAGGACAGCCTCAATTCGTCGGGGCATGGACTCTACAAGGTGTCGAAAGTGTTACACAGTGATGCTGGCCCATGTTGACTTCAATGCTTCCCACAATTGTGTCAAGTTGTCTGGATGTCCTTTGGGTGGTGGACCATTCTTGATACACACAGGAAACTGTTGAGCGTGAAAAACCCAGCAGCGTTGCAGTTCTTGACACACTTAAACCGGTGTGCCTGGCACCTAATACCATACCCTGTTCAAAGGCACTTCAAATATTTGTCTTGCCCATTCAGCCTTTGAATAGCACACATACACAATCCATGTCTCAATTGTCTCAAGGCTTAAAAATCCTTATTTAACCTGTCTCCTCCCCTTCATCTACACTGATTGGAGTGGATTTAAGAGGTGACATCAATAAGGGATCATAGCTTTCACCTGGTCAGTCTGTCATGGAAAGAGCAGGTGTTCATAATGCTTTAGACACTCAGTGTAAATGCATGGTTCATGCAAAAGGCTGTTATGCACATACAGTAGATCTTAATGTAGGATTTTGTTCTTACTGCATAGCTGTGTCATCTCTCTCTGGTGTCTGCCCCTCTCTCCTCCTCGTCTCATCTCTGACTCTTCTTCCTGTAGATAATGCTTTCTAGAAGCCAAAGAAGAAGAAGGCAGAGTCAGCCAGCCCAGCCACCAATGGTGCCGATGCCAAGCCCAAAAAGAGCAAGAGCAAGAAGAGCGAAGAGCTGTCTGGAGAGGAGAGTCCTGCTGTTCAAAGTACGGACTGCTCTGCACAGTTTCAATGAGATGTCTTCAAATGAGGCATACGCAAATGATTGTTTAAAAGTTCACCAACATTTTGGCAAAATGTTGGTGATCCACAAATAAATAATGTATATCTGAGATAGTGTGCAGTATCCAAATGTAATGAATAAATATGATTATCACTCAAAAATATATTAATTTCTTTGGAGGTCATCTCTCAATCTCTGGGTTTTTTGAAAAAATAGATGGAAAAAAGGTAAAGAAAAAGAAACCAGACGAAGAAAAGCCAGAAAAGGAAAAAGGGAAAGACAAAGACGAGCCAAAGAAGAAAACAAAAAGTGTGCCAGAGAAAAAGAAAGGTAAGCAGTCAGCAGTATAACTGAGATGATGCTCTACGTGAACTGCATGTTAAAGCATCAAAACGTATTTAAAACCCAATAAAAAGTGCACTTCTTTTCTGCTCAAGGTTCAGATACAGAAGAAGAAGATGATGAGGAAGAGACTCCACACAAAAAGACAAAGAAAAAGACCACAAAAGAAGGTTCTGGCAAAGAGAAGAAACCCAAAGCTAAAGGTGGGAAGATGTATAGGAAACCAATTTTCTTAAAGGAGTTACTAGACAACAAGAATACGACCTGGTTTAAGAGGATTAGGTAGGAGATTTAATTGTGTAATGTTGAGTGAAAGGAAACACTAGTCCTGCACAGCCTTACGTTGTCAGCACCAAGTAAACTGTTGCAGATTACACACCAGACAGAATGCAAAACGTTTCAAAATATATAAAGAAGTTTCGGATGTAACTTTTTTTTGTATAGCACTGGTAACAAAATGGCATCGCTGTTAGAAGTATTTTTGTCTCACGTCTTTTTTCAGATGACAAAGAGTATGACAAAAAGTCGAAGAAAGACACCAAGAAAAAGGAACCAGCTTCTCTGTTCTGTGTAAATGGAGATATGGATAAGTCAGACGCCAAGAGCAAGAAGAAAGGTAACCGTTAACACTAGCTTTACGTATTGATTTTACACTGCTGCAATTTTAGGGATAAATAATGATCGACTTGACATTTTACATTTTAGTCATTTAGCAGACGTTCTTATCCAGAGCGACTTACAGGAGCAATTAGGGTTAAGTGCCTTGCTCAAGGGCACATCGACAGATTTGTCACCTAGTCGGCTCGGGGAGTAGAACCAGTGACCTTTCGGTTACTGGCACAACACTCTTAACCACTAAGCTACCTGCCGGTTGAAAATCTCTAACCCATCATCATGTATTATTTGTGTCTAAATATCTCCAACATCAGAAGTCCCACACCCCTTTTGGAAGAGAACACATTGCAATAATGTTACAGCACTGTAGGTACACTGTGATATGATCATAACCTGGAGTGCATTCTCTCATTATCATTATCAGCCAAATCTGATAGTGATGACAGTGAACCAGAAACCAAGTCCAGCAAGTCAAAATCAAAGAAGAAGGAGAACGCCAACCCGGCATCCATGTTCGCAGCAGGGGGAGAGAAGGATAAAGACAAGGACAAAGACAAGAAGAAGAAGAAGAAAGGCAAGAGTTTTCTGTTTTAATTCAATACAGCTCCAGTGTTTGGGCATCTTCCTGCCAGTCAGTGAAAAAACAAGTTTTCCTAATGTTCTATTTTTCTATCAGCCAAAGCATCAGAGAGTGATGATTCTGAATCCGAGGCAGAAAAAGGGACAAAAAATAAAAAGGGAAAAAGGAAGAAGAAGAAGGTAGGTTTGTGTCTGCCGGTCCCTGTTTGGTGAGGTTTGTGTCTGCCGGTCCCTGTTTTAGTGAGGTTTGTGTCTGCCGGTCCCTGTTTTAGTGAGGTTTGTGTCTGCCGGTCCCTGTTTTAGTGAGGTTTGTGTCTGCCGGTCCCTGTTTTAGTGAGGTTTGTGTCTGCCGGTCCCTGTTTTAGTGAGGTTTGTGTCTGCCGGTCCCTGTTTGGTGAGGTTTGTGTCTGCCGGTCCCTGTTTTAGTGAGGTTTGTGTCTGCCGGTCCCTGTTTGGTGAGGTTTGTGTCTGCCGGTCCCTGTTTTAGTGAGGTTTGTGTCTGCCGGTCCCTGTTTTAGTGAGGTTTGTGTCTGCCGGTCCCTGTTTTAGTGAGGTTTGTGTCTGCCGGTCCCTGTTTTAGTGAGGTTTGTGTCTGCCGGTCTCTGTTTTAGTGAGGTTTGTCTCTGCCGGTCCCTGTTTTAGTGAGGTTTGTCTCTGCCGGTCCCTGTTTGGTGAGTAAGGGCTCGACTCAATCCGTATCGCAGAAGTTCAGCGCTATAGCACAATTGAAATTTCACTGTAAATGCTGCCTATGTCGGTTCAATCGGAAACTACCTTTACATTTGAATCGCACTATAGTGCTGTACTTCTGCGATACGGATTGAATCGTGACCTAGGTCACAATGTTGCTATTGCACAGTGATGGCTTGTCGGGGGGCGTATACATTTCTGGATTCTTCTGATCAGGGCTCCAAAAAGATGACTCCTTGCCTCCTTCTCAACCACACTGGAGAAGAAAGTCCAAGGTCCCTCCCCTCAGACCTTCTCCGATGCATTTAAGAAAAAGGCAAAGAGAGAGGATGAAAATGTAGAATTGGAGCCTAGAGTCATGTTTAAATTAACCTGCTGATAAACTGATAATCCTGGTTTTCACTGTCCTACATCCAGGAGGAGAGGCCTCCATCCCCAGACATTGAGTTTGACAGCCTGGAGGAGTTTGTCCTGCAGCCAGCCCAGCAGGGGGTGACGGTCAAATGCAAGATGACCCGGGACAAGAGGGGCATGGACAAAGGCTTGTACCCCACATACTATCTCCACCTCGACAATGAAAAGAAGGTGAGGCACTCCCAGAGGTCAAGTTTAGGGGTTTCTGGCCCTGTGTAGCTCAGTTGGTAGAGCATGGCGCTTGCAATGCCAGGGTTGTGGTTTCGTTTCCCACAGGGGGCCAGTATTAAAAAACAACAACAAAAAAAACATGTATGCACTCACTAACTGTAAGTCGCTCTGGATAAGAGCGTCTGCTAAATGACTAAAATGTAAACATTTTAATGTATTCCGTCTGTTGATGTATTACAATCCACAAATGTGGCTTCAGATGAGTCACTCTTTTGAGGTTTTGCGATTTAATTTAGAAATCAATCTGAGATGGAGCCAACGTGAGCTTAAAACCAAGTTGTGGATTTATGATATGAATTTGAGGAATCATTGTCCAGGAGATTTATTCTGTGTTTTTACAGGTCTTTCTACTGGCTGGGAGAAAACGAAAGAAAAGCACAACCTCCAATTACCTTATCTCCATAGACCCCACAGACTTGTCAAGAGGTGGAGAAAATTTCATTGGAAAGTTGAGGTATCCGTAAGCTACAGTTATAGATCAAACTGTAACATTTCTATAAAGTAATTAGTATTACACCTGTAATCATGCATTTCATAAGCTCGTTTCATTCATCGATTGATGATTTACCCTCCATAGGTCCAATATGATGGGCACTAAGTTCACAGTGTTTGACAATGCTCTGCACCCAGACAGAGCACTACCAGACATGTCCAATGCTCGCCAAGAACTAGCAGCCATCATTTATGTAAGGCTTTGACATTTATATTGAAGTACCCTTTATAAAGGTTTTTCAAAAGGGTTTATAAGTAGTTTATTAACTGCTAATTGTTTCTGTATAGTTGAGACATTAAATTAATATTTATAATGGGTTACAAAGGGTTAGTAAAGGGGCTATAGGTAATTCAAGGAATGTTCATTATAAGATTGTTATTAGAAAATCGTATGTTAAATTGATCAATGGTGGACAACTTCCATAAAAATGTAATTCCTATTTCCGCATATCTCTCTGACCTTTGGCGACAGGAAACTAATGTCTTAGGAATAAAGGGTCCCAGAAAGTTGACCGTCATCATCCCAGGGATGGGCAAAGACAGTGAACGAGTACCCATCCAACCTCGCAGTGTAAGTAAACCATTGTTATACAGATGTCATTCTGCCTGAGTTATGGATGAGGATGAACAACACCTTAGTCATTATTTAATCTTTATTATTTTTTTTGTTGTTATTTTTAAATATTTTATTTTATTTCTTTATTTTTGGGGGGGTATTTTACCCCCGTTTTCGTGGTATCCAATTGGTAGTTACAGTCGGGAGGTCGAGAGTCGCGCGTCCTCCGAAACACAACCCAACCTAGCCGCACTGCTTCTTGACACAGTGCCCGCTTAAGCCGGAAGCCAGCTGCACCAATGTGCCGGAGGAAACACCGTACCCCTGCGCGATGGGACAAGAACATCCCTGCCGGCCAAACCCTCCCCTACCCTGGACGGCGCTGGGCCAATTGTGCGCCGCCCCATGGGTCTCCCGGTCGCGGCCGGCTGCGACAGAGCCTGGAATCGAACCAGGATCTCTAGTGGCACAGCTAGCACTGCGATGCAGTGCCTTAGACCACTGCACCACTCGGGAGGCCACATAGTATATCGGATGATTCGCTTTTATCACTTGAATACAACATTCCTCATTATCCATATTGTTATTGTGACCAGCTAATGTTGCTGCTTTTCTCCCACATCCCTCTTCTTCAGGACAACAATGGTTTACTGATGAAGTTCCAGAACAGAAAGATGGACAATCTGATCGAACTCCACAACAAGACCCCCACATGGAATGATGACACGGCGTCCCATGTGCTGAACTTCAACGGCAGGGTCACACAGGCCTCCATCAAAAACTTTCAGATCATCCACAGCAAAGATGGTGAGAAGATACTCAAACCAAAAATCATCATCCACAATCATAACATTGTTTACATATTGTTTATTTCTGGTAACTATCATATACAATAGTCCCGTGTAGCTCAGTTGGTAGAGCATGGCGTTTGCAACACCAGGGTTGTGGGTTCGATTCCTACGGGGGGCCAGTATGAAAATGTATGCGCTCACTAACTGTAAGTCGCTCTGGATAAGAGCGTCTGCTAAATGACTAAAACGTCAAACGTAAACAATACCGGCAGATGAAATTCCAATAACAAACGTAGGTGAATAAGGTTGGATAAAGTCACAAAACCCACTAATACAGTATATTTTGAGTTGTTTTATTTTCCGCAAAAGTGTAAATATAAAATGTTTGTGTGTGTGTACATTTTTCTTATTCTAGAGGCCTATATTGTAATGCAGTTTGGACGAGTAGCAGATGATGCTTTCACTCTGGACTATAGCTACCCAATGTGTGCAGTGCAGGCCTTTGCCATCGCTCTATCCAGCTTTGATGGCAAAATAACCTGTGAATAACAGGAAACCATGGGCCCTGGTGCCTCCTCAAGCTGCTGCAACTCGTTATACTACAGATGCACACTACCAGAAAGAAGAATTTCGTTCACCATTTTTTAACACTCAACATAAGTGCAAGGTGCATAAAAGGATGGAAGGATGGATGTCCTAGACGAGATGGTGGGTCCCAAGTGCATTTGATAACACATGGACTGTCTCTGTGATTGTTTTGTTTGTTAGCGTCTCATGCACAGGAGGCTGCTGAGGGGAGGACGGCTCATAATAACGTCCGGAACGGAGCTGATGGAATGGCATCAAACACCTGGAAACCATGTGTTTTGATATATTTGATACCATTCCACTAATACCACTCCAGCCATTACCACGAGCCCGTCCTCCCCAATTAAGGAGCCACCAACCTCCTGTGGTCTCATGACAATGATAATCATAAACTTTTCTGGGAACAAGATTACTTTTTCCATTGGAGATCCTTGAGTACAGTGATGAAAGTAAAGGGATGCTGATGCTGCATGCAAGGCTGAGCACTGGAGATTTGGTGTGCTTTGGTATTACACCATTTCAGTGTCGGGGATGCAATTTCATACCAATTGGGGGATGAATGTGACATCTGAAGATTGAAAGCCTATCTCCCGCCCACCTACATCAAGGATTTATAGGATAGTACATGTCCAATATTAATTCATTCTGTTGTATTTAGTTTGGAAGGCAAATCCAGTCATGTGTAATCTCAAGTCCATTGGTAGAAAAACTGGGTCTACATGGACTTATAGAAAATTCATTTAAAAATATGACAAAATATATTTATTTAGGCCTACTCGTTCTTATTAAATGTAGGGTTATGTTTGTTTCCATGCATTGTGGTATGTCAACATTATGAAATTGACTTTATCTTATCTCAATGTGTGCTTATCAGATGTCTACTGTATGTTCATGTTAGTGATTTTTCTCACCAATATTATGGTCTCCTTAAACAAATTATAGGTTTCATTGTGCCACTTAAGAGGCAGTGGCATAAGGCAATATGCTTGTACCATGTGACTGTGGACAGTCACAAGTCTTTTTCTAATCATCTCATTTCCTGTTCTCATTCCACTCAAGCAACAATTTTGTTTTCATTCTGATATCTGCCTTTTTTTGTTCTCTCTTAGGCTAGATTCTGACTTTGTATGAATCATGTGGACAAGATACTTATATTGACAAATATAAGGCTCTGATGTGAACCATTGTTGTTTTGATAACGATTGTTAATGTATGATCAGAAGGTTAACAATGCATTTCAATGTCTTGTGAACTTCTCTTGAAATAAAGTCAAAGTGCAGGCTTGGAGATAACATGCTCAAATAATAATTAATTAATCTGCAAATAAAGTATGCCATGTTTAAAACAAATTCTTACAGGTTAAGCGTATTAATTAACACTTTTCTTTTACACCTGCTACGTTAAGTTACACAATCTCCCAAAAGATGATGCTGTAGTTTACTGTGCATTTGACAGCACTATAATAGTGTTTACTTTATAAATAATTGGCAACTCAATGCTAACTGTGACCTGCATTGATTCGACTCTTGCTTTTGACTGACATCAAAATATTTGTAGCTGGGAAATGTTTATGACAAAATGTCAGCAGTTACAGTGAGGGAAAAAAGTATTTGATCCCCTGCTGATTTTGTACGTTTGGCCACTGACAAAGACATGATCAGTCTATAATTTTAATGGTAGGTTTATTTGAACAGCGAGAGACAGAATAACAACAAAAAAATCCAGAAAAACGCATGTCAAAAATGTTATAAATTGATTTGCATTTTAATGAGGGAAATAAGTATTTGACCCATCTGCAAAACATGACTTAGTACTTGGTGGCAAAACCCTTGTTGGCAATCACAGAGGTCAGACGTTTCTTGTAGTTGGCCACCAGATTTGCACACATCTCAGGAGGGATTTTGTCCCACTCCTCTTTGCAGATCTTCTCCAAGTCATTAAGGTTTCGAGGCTGACGTTTGGCAACTCGAACCTTCAGCTCCCTCCACAGATTTTTATATGGGATTAAGGTCTGGAGACTGGCTAGGCCACTCCAGGACCTTAATGTAATTCTTCTTGAGCCACTCCTTTGTTGCCTTGGCCGTGTGTTTTGGGTCATTGTCATGCTGGAATACCCATCCACGACCCATCTTCAATGCCCTGGCTGAGGGAAGGAGGTTCTCACCCAAGATTTGACGGTACATGGTCCCGTCCATCGTCCCTTTGATGCGGTGAAGTTGTCCTGTCCCCTTAGCAGAATAACACCCCCAAAGCAATGTTTCCACCTCCATGTTTGACGGTGGGGATGGTGTTCTTGGGGTCATAGGCAGCATTCCTCCTCCTCCAAACGTGGCGAGTTGAGTTGATACCAAAGAGCTCGATTTTGGTCTCATCTGACCACAACACTTTCACCCAGTTCTCCTCTGAATCATTCAGATGTTCATTGGAAAACTTCAGACGGGCCTGTATATGTGCTTTCTTGAGCAGGGGGACCTTGCGGGCGCTGCAGGATTTCAGTCCTTCACGGCGTAGTGTGTTACCAATTGTTTTCTTGGTGACTATGGTCCCAGCTGCCTTGAGATCATTGACAAGATCATCCTGTGTAGTTCTGGGCTGATTCCTCACAGTTCTCATGATCATTCCAACTCCACGAGGTGAGATCTTGCATGGAGCCCCAGGCCGAGGGAGATTGACAGTTATTTTGTGTTTCTTCCATTTGCGAATAATCGCAACAACTGTTGTCACCTTCTCACCAAGCTGCTTGGCGATGGTCTTGTAGTCCATTCCAGCATTGTGTAGGTCTACAATCTTGTCCCTGACATCCTTGGAGAGCTCTTTGGTCTTGGCCATGGTGGAGAGTTTGGAATCTGATTGATTGATTGCTTCTGTGGACAGGTGTCTTTTATACAGGTAACAAGCTGAGATTAGGAGCACTCCCTTTAAGAGTGTGCTCCTAATCTCAGCTCGTTACCTGTATAAAAGACACCTGGGAGCCAGAAATCTTTCTGATTGCGTTTTTCTGGATTTTGTTGTTGTTATTTTGTCTCTCACTGTTCAAATAAACCTACCATTAAAATTATAGACTGATAATTTATTTGTCAGTGGGCAAACGTACAAAATCAGCAGGGGATCAAATACTTTTTTCCCTTACTGTATGATGAGAAAATTGGTTACAAATGTATCAGCTGTTGGTTTTCTAGTTGTGGACTATGGAGTGAGATTTGTTTCTTTATTCTGTAAATATGTCTACCGCGATCTGTGCACATATTCAACATAACTCACAAATAAAACTATGATCTGTGAATTTATTAAAATATTTTGTGAATAAAACCATAATCCGTAAAAATGTAAAAAATATGTCACAATTTTAACCATAACCCATGCATATATAAAACATATTTCACAAATTAAACCATAATCCGTGAATATGTAAAAAGATTGAACAAATATTCACCATAAATCATACATAAATCGATGATCTGTAAATATATTTAACATAGCTCACAAATAAAACTACAATTTGAACAAATGTAGAAAGAATTGTGAGCAAATGTTCAGAAATCCCTAACATTTACAACTGTGGAATGTGCATTTGCACATTCAAAAAGTGCATGTGGATCTGTATTCCACCTGTCGATGTATTACAATCCACAAATGTGGCTTCAGATGAGAGTCGGCTATCTCTATTGATTGTGATAATCTTTGTGTCAAGTGAAGCAAAGTGTCTCATTCAGCCATAATAAAGAACAACTTTATGAAATGTGAGTATAACCTTTATTTATGTTCAAATGTTCAACAAATTACTTTAATATGAATGTTAAATTCGACCATTGGGGAATGTGTGCTTTCGACATCAGCCCACTAGTCAAGCGTTGGACACTACCGATAGCTAGCAGGTGATCTCGTCAACTGTTTAGACGAACAACCAATGTTAAACTAACGTTTTAACTAGTTAATTGTTAATTCAGGAATGTGTCAATTGTGAAGAACCGCTCAGTTTTAAAATCCTGAATTGGTGATCTAGCTAGCCAGCTAATGAGAAATGTTGCAAATCCTATTTTTCAATATTGTTTATTTCAGGGACTAAACAGGGCAATTGATGCTTAGGCAGAACAAAGCACTCTTTCCAGACTGGTGTGGAGGTAAGAAATTGTGACATTATCTGATTAAAAACGTTAGAAATTCAACTTTTCTGCTCCATGTAGGCTTGCTTGCTAGCTAGCCAAGTCATTTGTTGTGCATCCTTAGCTACATTTATTAATATGTAGTTTCCTAGTCAATACATGCATTCCATGTCTGATTACTGTCAGTTCAATCCCTCTCTGTATTGTGTTGCAGTGTTGGATTGAGGGGCTGGGCAATGTTACCAGTGAAATAAAAGGCTAAATTATTCTACTCGTACTGTAAAAAAGTATTAACCTGACAATAACGTGAGGGTTTAATTGTGTAACAATGCACAGGTCATGTTATGATGATGGTTCAAGATAATCTAAAAATTGTTATGAATAAAATGTTTTAAATAATTATTTATTTATTTCACCTTTATTTAACCAGGTGAGCCAGTTGAGAACAAGTTCACATATACAACTGCGACCTGGCCAAGATAAAGCAAAGCAGTGCGATAAAAACAGCAACACAGAGATGCATATGGGGTAAACAAAACATAAAGTCAAAAATATAACAGAAAATATATATACAGTGTGTGCGAATGTAGTAAGTTATGGAGGTAAGGCAATAAATATATATGCCATAGTGCAAAAATAGTTACAATTTCGTAATTAACACTGGAATGATAGATGTGCAAAAGATGATGTGCAAATAGAGATACTGGGGTGCAAATTAGCAAAATAAATAACAATATGGGGATGAGGTAGTTGGGTGGGCTAATTTCAGAATGGCTGTGTACAGGTGCAGTGATCGGTAAACTGCTCTGACAACTGACGCTTAAAGTTAGTGAGGGAGATAAGAGTCTCCAGCTTCAGAGATTTTTGCAGTTCGTTCCAGTCATTTGCAGCAGAGAACTGGAAGGAATGGCGGCCAAAGGAGGTGTTGGCTTTGGGGATGACCAGTGAGATATACCTTCTGGAGTGCAGACTACGGGTGGGTGTTGCTATGGTGACCAGTGAGCTAAGATAAGACGGGGATTTGCCTAGCAGTGATTTATAGATGACCTGGAGCCAGTGGGTTTGGCGACGAATATGTAGTGAGGGCCAGCCAACAAGAGCATACAGGTCAC